GTTGACTTCGATCATAGGAATACAGAGCATGGATTCTGTGAGTGATGATGTTGCAACTTAAAATTAGACCAAAATTTTTGTGTTATATATGATTAATGATTAGATTTCTGAATGCAGCTTGTGGGGCACTTTCTGGAGGAGACATGTGTAAACCCTACTTTCATTATTAACCATCCAGAGATTATGAGTCCATTGGCAAAGTGGCATAGGTCAAAACCAGGCTTGACTGAACGTTTTGAATTATTTGTTAACAAGCGTGAAGTATGTCATAGCAGCTAAGGATTTCTATTTAGTTCTTTATTATTGTTATTTTTTTAAAATAGTGATTTTCTAAGGATTATGTATATATATACTTATATTTATATTTTTTCCTTGCATGCCATCTATGTTCTGTACGTAGGTTTGCAATGCATACACGGAGTTGAATGATCCTGTGGTACAATGCCAACGGTTTGCTGACCAACTCAAGGTATTATGATCATTAGGAATTGAATCATTGTGGCATGTAAAGTCATGTTGTGTGGGGTGCCTTGACTGAAGATTTTTGTATGATTAAATTTCAGGACCGACAATCAGGTGATGATGAAGCAATGGCTTTGGATGAAACATTTTGCACGGCTCTCGAGTATGGTTTTCCCCCAACTGGTGGTTGGGGACTGGGTATTGACCGACTAACAATGATGATGACAGATTCGCAGAACATCAAGGTTTGTGTTTTACGTTTGTGTGGTTTGTGTGAAATGTTCATGTGTTATCAGTTTGTGGTTTTGGATTTCCTTGCTGGTGATTTTTCATTTGTTTAATTATTGGTAGTGTTGGCTTGGTGGGGTTAGGGTTGGTGTTGGGTGTGTTTGGCTGGACGTGGGAAGTTTCACATTCTACAATAGAAAGTTTTTTCGACTGAGCTTTTTTACTCAAGTGTCAATTGTTTTGTTTTTTGGTTTGGGGACAGGAAGTTCTACTCTTTCCGGCCATGAAACCTCAGGATGAACCTTCTGCTAAAGAACACATCCAAACAGCTTCTGGCTTGGGTCCAGTATAGGTTTTCAATCTGCCAATATGCATGCAAATCTGCCTACAGAAGGTTTACTTCTGTTTTGGTTATGCATTTAAATCTGCCAAGAAACATGCTGTTGGGTTGGATTATTTAGTACGATATGTTTTATTACTGCTAACGGTTTTCTATACATGCTGAAATATTGATTTCCTTGCAGTTCTCTAGATTAGTGGGATGGAGCAAACCAACTTCTTATTTCAGCAAGATTCATAGGTACTATGATTCTGCTTTTATGTTGTGATGGAAGTTCAAGATCTTGTAATGATTTTTTGCCAAAATAGTCGTTTGAATCCCTAAATTTCTTTTGCATGGTGTCTGTGTCCTATTGATTTTGTTTGAGAAGCTGAGTCCTATTGATTTTGTATTCTACAATTCTAACATTTTGTGCGTAATGCAGCTTGTCCCTGGTGGTTCTCCTGATCCAAAATGTGTGGTGGTATGCAAGATTGCTTTTGTTAGCGCTGTCAGATTGGCAGATCTAAAGAAGAATGCTGATGGACAAGAAAGTCTGGTGTTTGCTACTTTAGCTGGTGACCTGGTAGTCCGAGGACTAATATTACTATCAGTTGTTATGACATTTTTTAATTTTTTAATTTTTTTTGTTGGTTCTTGTATTTGAAATAGAGAGTTTATTTGCATTGATGACTTATTCTTAACTCAGTAACTCTCCAATGACCATATGAAGATTTCTAGGGTGCGAGAAATATGAAATATTTTTGTGTAACATACACCGTTTGATTTATGTGAATGTTTTGTTTTTGCACAATGATTGTGGACTATCATTTTATAAGATTTTACTATATGAATGGGGGTTATTATTTTATATTAGTACTATTTTAGTTTTATTATAGGTATTTTTTAAAAAAATTAGCACAATTTTTTTTTTTAAAGAAAGGGCTATCACGGCGTTTTTAAAAACGTCGTTAAATAGTTGGGAAAAAGAGATGTGGTGGCGTTTTAAAAACGTCGCTAAATAGCATGGTGACGTCATGTTACAATTAGTGGAACTTTTAGCGGCGTTTTTCTAAAACGCCGCCTATAGTAATATAGCGACGTTTTTAAAGCGCCATAGAGTTATAGCGACGGCCGCATCTTCGACGTTTAGTGCTAAACGCCACAAAAAGATTTGACGGCGTTTTTAAGACTTATAGCGGCGTTTTTCAAACGCCTCTAAAACCCTGATTTCCAGCAGTGATGTTGCCAGCTAGGCTACTGTTAAGAAAGACACTAGAAGTCTGCCAGTTGTTGGACAAGGCTCTACAAGTCAGGGAAAAGACTCTGATGAAGAAGCACTGGATTAGAGGCAGCAGTTATCCAAAGAATGTGCCCCAGGTGTAGGTTGAGCTATAAGTGGCTGAAAGGGCTCCCAATTGATGGAAAGTAATACTACAGGGATGTGCAGAGATGTCCTAAACCAACCAGTGCTTATAACAAAAGGCCATATCTAACTGCTCCCAAGCAGTAGCCATTCATGGCTGAATCAGCAGCTACTAGAGTGCAATTCAAAGGTAAGAGGCATCTACATGAGTCCAGACCTACCAACTATTACAAAGGGGAGGGCAATCATCCTGAAAGAATGACTGAAATAAGCTCAAGTTATGGGATCAAAGCCAGAAATTGGTCTCTTAGACCAGCCTCACACAAGATGGAAAGTGACCACCTTCGTGGAAGGCCTGAATTAGGCCCAAAACAAGGACTCAGGGCTAAGCAATGGCATTCACAGGCAGCTTCGAAACTGGATTCGAAGCAAGAAAGAGACAGCTCAACAACTGAATTGGGGTGTTCATAGGTACCTGGAGTCTCAGATTGGTTTGTCATGCAGAACAAACCTAGGGAGATACCTGCCCAAAGAAATGCTATTGGAGATCAGGGTAGGATGGTTAAACCTCCCCTAGTGGCCCCAAATAATTGGGTGTTGCTAAAGCATCAAAAAATAGAGAAACCAAACATGGTCCCTGTAATTTCTAGATCACAAAGGAGGAAGATTCAACGTAGGTACACTCAGTACCAGAAAGACCTGAAAGAAAGTGGAGAAAGCTCTTCATTGGTCCAGACAGAAGGAAAGAAGAATCCAAAGTCAGACCATACTCCAAAACCAACTCTACAAGACAAGATGGGTTGCAGCAGAGAACAGTTGGCCAAAGTTCACTCTGAACTAAAGGCCAGAGAGAGGTCCAGCTTAGCAGGATTGGAGAAGGCTTTGATGGAGAGTGATAGCGAGACAGAGGAAGAAGTTGGCCTAAGCTAAAAGAAAGAAGTGGTTGAGGAAGAAATGTTCGAAGCCTTCATAGCTAAACAGACATTTTTGGTTAAGAAGCCAGTCGAAAAAGACCATTCGAAGGAGTTTGTTAGTAATGAAGTGCCAGAATGCAGAATGGAAGATGCTTCTGAAGTAACTGAACAAGGAGGCCAAGAGGAGAAAAATGCACAGCCAGCCATCCAATTTGGCTCGTTTCCTCCAGTATCAGTGAATATGGTACATATACTACCGCATGAGTTCCAAGCTGGAGATGAGAACTAAGAGGATCAAGAAATGGACCCAATTCCAGTCTCTAGTGAAGACTCACAAGTGAGTATGGTGCAAGATGAATCCAGAATGGCTACCCCAATGAAAACTAAATACGAGAGTGAAGAAGAGGTGAGTATTAACCTCTCATATCCTTTTGAGTATCCATCGACATCTATGACACAACATGTCAAGCCTTTGTATATCAAGGCCTTCTTCGATGGGATACAACTGAACCGAGTCTTGATGGATAATGGGACAGCAGTGAACCTACTTCCGAAATCTTCCTTGAAGAAACTAGGGAAAAGGAATCCCAGGTTAATCCCAATCAGCACAACCATTGCTGGCTTCGCTAGAGACAAACAGATGGCTTAGGGAATTTTGCCCATCAACCAGAGTGTGGAAACCAGGGACTGCATGACGGCATTCTTCGTTATCGACAGCAATGCTAAGTACAATGCTTTACTTGGTAGAGATTGGATTCACACTAACAAGTGTGTGCCTTCCTCTTTGCATCAGAAGATAATGATGGCTTTAGACAATGGAGAGACAGATGAAATTGACGCAGATCCTTAACCCTTCATGGCCTGTGCAGACTTTGCAGAGGCCAAATTATATATTGAGGGAGTGACACCACTCTGTATGCTAAGAAAACCTGATGGCTCAGCCGAAGTTACGGCTGATGAGGAATTGGCACACCTGAAGCAATTAGTCCAGGAGAGTGCTGATGAAGAGGTTGTCGTTAAGGATGACAATGATGCCTAGTTGTAGGCAAAGAGATGAAGCACAAGAAGCCAAGTCTTTGGCTCTAATTAAGTTCTCAATATTGGATGTAAAATCAATAGTCTAGAAAGTGCAAGAGCAAGAGAAAGAAGCCATGATAATTGGCTGCAAGCAGGAGCAGCAACAGGCCAGAGTTTTGGCCCTTGATAAATACTGTGCATTGGACATTGAAACAAAAGTCCAGGCGATACAGGAATGAGAAGCCTTATGGACAGACTTTGTCTATGAGGAGGAGGGTAAAGATGTTGAATCAAAGAACCTGGGAGCAGAACAAAGCAAGAAGATTGCTTCGAAGGCAGAAGGAATTAAAGAAGGAGCTTCAGTAAGTTCTCAGATACAAGACCCCTTAGAAGAAGTAAATTTAGGAGAAGGTTCTATACAACAGTCCACCTATATAAGTGCTTGGTTGAATGCTCTTGACAGAGACCAGTTGTTGGTTGTTCTGAAGAAATATAAAGATTGTTTTGCATGGTCTTATAATGAACTACCTAGATTGGATAGGTCATTAGTAGAACATAGGCTCCCTATGAGGCCTAATTTCAAGCCATACAAGCAAAAACCAAGAAGAATGAGTCCAGAAGTGATTCAGAAAGTTAATGAGAAAATTCTTAGACTACTCAAGGCAGGCTTTATTAGGACAGCCAGGTATGTTGAATGGCTATCCAATATTGTGTCTGTAGTTAAGAAGAATGATAAAATGAGGGTATGTATTGATTTCAGAAACTTAAATCTAGCAACTCCAAAAGATGAGTATCCTATGCCTATAATAGATTTGTTGGTAGACAGTTTAGCAGGGCATCAAATTTTTTCAATGATGGATAGGCACTCTGGTTATAACCAAATCTTCATTGCAGAAGAGGATGTTCATGAGACAGTATTCAGATGTCCTGAGAATATTGGCACCTTGGAATGGGTTAAAATGCCATTTGGCTTGAAGAATGTTGGGCTACATATCAGAGGGCTATGAACACTATCTTTCATGATCTCATTGGAGGGTATTTAGAGTGTTATATTGATGACATTATAATGAAATCACAATCCATGGAGGAGCATATGTTTCACTTAGAAACAGCTTTTGAAAGAATGAGAAAGTTTAAGTTGAAACTCAATCTTCTTAAGTGTGCTTTTGGCGTATCATCTAAAAACTTCTTGGGCTATGTAGTACACAAGAAAGGAATACAGAATGATCATAATAAAGCCAAAGCCATCATTGAAGCCAGACCTCCATCAAGTAAGAAAGAATTACAAAAGTTCCTTGGATATGTTAATTTTCTTCGAAGATTCATTTCTAATACTGCAGGAAAAACTAAAGTATTTTCTTCCTTGTTAAGGCTAAAAGATGAAGAGGAATTTGTGTGGACAGTAGAGCATCAAATTGCTTTCGAAGGAATCAAAGCCTACTTGGCCAACCCTCCAGTGCTGATGCCACCAAAGGGTGATAAGCCCTTGAAGTTGTACATAGCTACAGTAGAGGATTCATTGGGAGCTTTCTTAGCCCAAGACAATGAAGAAGGCAAGGAGCAAGCTGTTTATTACCTTTGTAGGTTTCTAAATTCTTGTGAATGTAAATACTCAGCTATAGAAAAGTTGTGCCTTGCACTGTATTTTCCTGCAATGAAATTAAGATAGTATCTTTTGCCTACAACTGTCTTGGTAATTGCAACCACAGATTTGGTTAAGTATATGTTATCTAGACCTATGTTGAGGAGGAAAATTGGCAAATGGATACTAGCCTTATCAGAAT